GCTTCGAAAAATTTTCATGTATTCAAGTTTCAGTTCTAGGGTTCAGAGTGTGGGTTTGCTTAGGATTTAGGGAAAGGGTTTAAAGGGCCTGGGGCCTGAGCCCTTATCCCCCAAACCCAGGATGAAGCTCTATAGACCCGAATCCCCAGACCCAAACCCACTTCTCCGGAGGCTACTCTCAAAGGGCACATGACATCCCGGCACGATAGGCTTCAGTTTCGGCGAAGTGTTGAGAGTAGCTTGGGTTTGGGGTTATTATCGAAACCCAATAGGGAAGCTGCGATGAAAATGCCATCCGGGTTGCATTGCACCCCGTGCGGCTTAATGCCTTAAGGTGCTTGAATACTTCGAGGCCTCAGCAATCAGCCTGCATGCTGGAACACCACTCTGCAACCTAAACCCTAAACCCTAAACCCTAAACCCTAAACCCTAAACCCAAAACCCTAAACCCTAAACCCAAATCCCAAAACCCTGCCTAAGTCTTTGCAGCAAAACCCAGTACCAAGGCACTGAGAAGGCGAACATGTCATCTTTGGTGAGGGAGCTGTTGCAGCCTCGGTCTCCACATTGGACTTGGGGGGTTCCTAGACTCCCCGGTTTCGGGTGTTAGGGTGTTAGGGTTTTCGGGTTTAGGGGTTTAGGGTTTCGGGATTATGGTCCTTGCTGCAGTGGGGGAGATATAGGTCTGGGGATAGCTAAATTATTAAACGAACAAGACACAACCAGCACAGAGGCCTACCGCAGCTCACTACTACTAGTCGACATCGTTTTACTGTCACGCCTTGAGCCAAACGGTCCGTTATCTTGAAGTGAAAGAACTGCATGCAACAGCCTACCTGCACTAGCCTAGGTACACAACGCAGCTATGCTTTTATTACACCACTGCCAGGTGCAAAGGGGTCGTGTTTTCTTAGCTGGGATGGGACTTAGGGAATGCCACAGGGTCGGTTAGTTTCGGCACATGTCTATATGTGTCTATGCGGGTGTGTATATGCGTGTATGTACATGTGTAACATGCTCTTGCTCGCATGTATATGCATGCCTCAGCATGCACAGCTCCATTATCTAGATTTACACAGTGTGTGCAAACAGGATGCATATATAAATATACATATATGCGTATATGCATAATTATGTATATACACACGTGTATATGTGTGCAATATCTTGAAAACCTGCAAGTGCAAATGGATATGGATCTGTTTACAACAACAGCTTATATACAAGCAGACCGAAAGAAGAGTACACCTGACCGTCTGTCATCGAGCGCTACATGTTGTCGGTAGTCGGGGCAGCCTCCCGCAGCCTCAAATTCCCTCCAGAACCCACCCCGAGGCCACAAACCCTGCAGAAAGTAAAAGCTGAACGTGACAAAGGCGAGGGCCCTGCAATAAAGAACAACTGCAAAGCTTAGATACTGCTGGGATGACCCGAAGCCACCACAAAGCCAGAATCTAAAGCTGCGACATGCAGTCACCAAGGATCCGCTCTTCACGACATGAACTGATCGAGTTTGAAGGGTAGAAATAGACATAGTAAAATCAAAACAAATCAGTTTTGTTTCGTCTGAAATTGCTTTCGCGGTTTGACAAGCCCTAAACGAACCCCAAAAAGCCCCAAATCGAACCCGAATCCCCCAAACCCATATCCAAACGCTGACAGCCCCAAAGAGAGCCCGAAGCCTTCGAAGCTCGAGCCCTGATCTTGACCAGACATCCCCAAACCTTCAATCAAGGGTTCACGGTTTAGTAGGGTTTAGTGGGGTTTAATGGGGTTTAGGATGGGTCTAGGGCTCAGCCAAGAAACCCCGAAGCTCCACTTAAACAAAACCGTGGTTATAGCTGGCAGGACGTAGTGACCGGATTTAAAGCCGCCGACCCCAAACGCTAAACACGCTGCTTGAAGGAGTTGATGGTACTAGAAGTACTGTAGTATAGACGCGCATTGATGTAGAACTCCGTGGGTTTATAACCGAAATGAAAAGTAACACCCCAACACCGTTTAAGCCTTAAGCCCGCACTCTCCTCAACGAAGTGATGTATGCAGCAAGTGGGGCAGTCTGCGCCCCCTCCAAAGGTAAAGATCTTCTTCACCGAAGACCTCTGGGATTTTTTCTCTCTGGTTGTCGGGCTCTGCGTTGAGAGCCCTATAGGGCTTGAAGGTCTGGGTCCGAAACTTAGGGGTTGAGAGGGTGGGTTTAGGGTTTAGGGTTTAGGGTTTAGGGTTTAGGGTTTAGGGTGATTGTTGGGGATGCTTTGTGAACCACAAGACTGGCGAAGCTCTTGCGGTGAGATCGGAGGAATGGAAATAACTAATATGGGGGCCTTAAGAATTAGAATGGGGTTTGGGGCCCATTATACTATAATGATAATAAGGAACCCCCCACCATAGTATAGGTAATTATTTAGGGCCCTACTCCAACAGGAGGGTCCCCAGGTACACTCCTGGCCCCCAGAGCGGCATTGGAGTCTTGGGACTTGTTCTGAAAAGGCTTCGGTGTTGTAGTATGCACTGTATGAGTGGGCGTTTCCGAAAATCAGGGGTACCTTATTTGGGGTCCTAATGATCAGGATCCTACTATTTAGGGTGCTATTAGGGTCCCCTATTTCAGGAAACCCCCCATATATAAGGCCAAATTTAAGTGTTTCTTGACGGCTATGTCCGCAAAACTTTCCGATTTCACCTTACTAGACGAAGGCAAACAAAAGGATCCCTGAGAGCCCGGCGCGTAGACCGCACTCATCCTTGGCTGTTTAGGGTTTAGGGTTTAGGGTTTAGGGTTTATTGGATCCGATGCTTCGGGACTGTTGCAAGGCTCTTGGGTGCAAGGATTCCTCTGAGGGTTCCTCGTCGGGGCTCCTTCAAGGGTTCCCGAAAAGGGTTCCTGTGAGGGCTTCATGTAAGTTAAGGGCTTTTGACACCGGATCCTATAATGGAGGGCGGCATGTCGGGGTCGAAGTACAGGTGAGAGCATATTAGGGCTTCGCGCTGTCATGGTTGGGCCTTAACAATTAGAATAGGGCTTTAGGCTTTAGGGCTCAGGGGGGCCGGGAGATGTTAGTATACTATGTTGGTGTGGCCCATATACTCGCAAGGCCGAGGTTCCATTGCCTCGATGATGGAGCACCGACGTTGGTGAACTGCCTGCATTGCCAAAAGCCGGCGCGTTATCGGGGCTAAGTTTGTTTAGGGTTCGGATGCTGATTCCGACCAATCTCATAAAGGAGCCGCACATGGACCGACTGGTTTTTGTTGCTCGTTTAGCTCCTTGTCTCTTTCTGTTATTCACAAGTCTGCATTTAGGGAATGCAGACGGAAAAACGGAAGGACATAGAAGCGAATGTGACAAACCCCAGCTTGAGATTCCGAATCCTACTCCGGAAAATGCATGGACCTCCATTCTGCATCGTTTGCTGCGACCAGCCACCTTCCAGCAATTCGGGCTTGAATGCTTGCAGTAGTTGCTGCTTCGGGCGTACTTGATCATGGTGAATCGGGAATCAGGTCAGGTCGTCTCGGCTGTAGCCGTAAGTTTCAAGGTTCCTGCAAAGGCTTGAGTAGCAATAAGAAGAATAAGACTAATAGAAAACAAAAGAAATAGAAACACACGAGGTTTGGGGTGTTGGCTTTCTGCTGGACGTCTCGGCACTTGGCGGAAAGATGAATTCTGGTCGTTAAGTTGCATCCGCTATGTCCCAATCTACAAACAGCCACGGGCCCTGAAAACTTTGAATGCAAGTCTAAGGGCCTACGATGCCCCACGTGACGACCGCATGCAGGACGCAGTCCATGCCCCGACTCATGATGAACTAGAGATCCACGTGGCGGGGATGCCCCTGTGGCACTGGAGCAACAAGTCGCTGTAAGAGCTTAAAGTTAAAGTTCCAAGATAGAAAATATTAAGGTCATTGGGCATGATGTTGCTGAAGATGAGCGCTAACACTCACGTTGCGCATTTTCTCATCGTCATCATCACCACCTCCAGCATCCCACGCCCGTTGTTGCGATCAATCAAAGATATGAACGACATAAGGCATACATGAATATTGCCATAAGATTGCAATGCCCATTGAAGTCAAGGTACGCCTCAGTATTCTGTGTGGCAGAAACACCAACACTTAGTCGTCGGCTTGAATATCCGTTAGAAGCAGTCGAAGGCGGGCAGTAACAAGGCAGTGACGGCGGCAGCTCTACAAAACGGAGTTAGACAGAGCCGCCTTGACCCGTCTCCTACAGACACTGGCCTGTGGGTTTAGTGTTTAGGGTATATATATATATATATGGTAGCCTCAGTCGTGCTGTTCTTCTTGCAACTGTTGTTCAAGTTGTTGAATGTGAAGCACTATGACAACGAACATCCCATTAGAACCAACCTTAGCTTACTTAGATCCCCTTCAAACTAAGATCCCGAAAGGCCATGTACTTACCCCAAGTCCAGGCCCCTCAGCCCCTACTCAAACCATAAACACAAGAAGCTAGGAGCCCCGGCAGGGGCAGGAAAAGCAAAGCTTTTGACCGCTGCATTGCCCGGGAGTGGGTCGTACCCAAAACTCCGGCAACTTGTCTCTGATCGACTTGAGCTATGGGTTGAAAATGCATGGCGTGATGCTGCTTGGCTTCGTGCTTTCGGAAGCACCCACATACGAAAAATGAGCTGACCCCTGATCTAAACACTTCATATCATGCTATGGTACCTCGGTCCCTTGGATCCAAAAACGCAGCAGCAGGGTGAAGAAATACTTGCGAATCTCGCCGGCTCAGCTTTGATCTAAAAATCCTTAGCACAACCCTTGAAGCAGGGGTTGAGTTTTTTGATCGGAGTTGAGAATCGCAATATAATCGCAACCGGGGCAAGTGCTAGACCTCCTATACATTCCTCATCTATACTCCGGCGCGATGCCCAAGCGTAGTTCGGCTCCAGCCTACATACCCTCCGCGCATCCCTGCAACGGTCCATAGGCTTGGAACAATCAAGCACTGGAAGCAACCGGGCTCGTTGCGATCCATTCCCGTGCCTTCAGGCCGAGTTCAACACCTGAGCTTCCAAAACTAGGGTTCGGGGCTCAGGATGCAAAGCTGCAGTTTGCAGTACGTAGCTCTGTGCTTTGCGTTGAGGGCTGCCGGATCAGGATGTGTTGTTGAACGTTCCGGCTTGAAGATCTATCTGCACCTAAACCCTAAACCTTAAAACCCCAGGGTTCAGAGCTTCCAAAGTTCAGGGTTCGCTGGCTTCCGGTCTCGCAAGATGCCAAAGCATACGGCCTGTGGAGTTGCTACGTCTTTGGGGCTAGCGGCTAGGGTTCAGTTCGGGCTTTTGAGAAAAGGCCAAAGCCTAGCCTGGGAAAACCTTCCGTGCGCCCAGTGACGTAAGAATGAAGTCGGAGCTGAAGTAAAGGGGCTTCAGGGAACTGGGGTTTTGGTTTCAGCGTTCGCCCAGGGTCCTGCACAAAAATGTAAGGGGTATCCTCAGCTGCCCTATTCCCTGTGAACCCAAAAGTCTAAACCCTAAATTCTACAACGTGAAACCCTAGACTCCAACCACTAAGCCCTAAACCTCCAAGCCTTATATAAACCTGAAAAGCCTTGCACCCTGGAAACCCGAAGCCCTATATACACCCGACAAAACCAATGTATAGGCTCATATACGTCCTAAACCCTATATAAGCCCCGTAAACTCCTAAACCTTCCATAAACCCTGTAAGCCCTAATCCTCAGCTCCACCAGCAGAATCTCATTGAGGCCGCGTCCCGCCAACTTCTTCAAGCCTGCAGGGCCCGAAGGCCGCGATGGGCTTATGAAACCCGGCTTTGGCATTTGTAGCATTTAGACTAGGATGTGAAGGGCTTGGGATTTACATAGGGCTTTAGCATTTAGGGGTTATAAACGAACGTAAGGTTCGGGGTTGAGGGTTGGGGACTTGGGAGTCGGTCCATCGTGGCACAGGGTTTAACTCTAGACCTCGGTATGTCGTGAACTGGCTGGCGTGAACTAATTTGGGTTGCGTATATGCTGGCTCACTATGGAACGGATCTGGTAGCCGATCTGGTTTCGGGCAAACTTTGAGCGCCCACACACGTGAAATAGTTTGGGGCTTAGATTGGGGTCAAACCCACCGGGCACCCTATGGGGCTTGGTTTAGGGTCTCGCAAACACCAGCTTGACAAGTGCATTCCCAATAGTGCCTTCTGCAAGCTCACCAATGGTGATCTCGCCAGGCTCACGAAGCCTCGCCCCACACGCCCAAGCCCCAAAACCCCCAAATTCCAAATCTCTATTTCCAAACAAGCTAACCAACAAACCCTGAAACCCAAAACTTATCGAACTATGGAGAGACCGCTCGGCTTGGTTCGCAAAACAAGTGAAGCTCTGAAGCTCCTGAAGACTTGAGCTTCAGAGAACTTCGGAGCTTCACTGATGGTCTTCTCATGCTCCGGAAGACTCGGGCTTCAGAACTTCACTGACGCTCTGAAGCTCCCGAAGACTCGAGCTTCGAAGCTTCGCTGACGCTGTGAAGCTCCTGAAGACTCGAGCTTCAGCTTTGACGCTCCTGAAAACTGGAGCTTTGGAGCTTCGCTGACGGTCTGAAGCTCATGAAGAGTGGAGACAACAAATGCCAGCGTAGATCCCAAACAGGGCGAGACAATGCAGACACGACAAAGCAGCCCAAGAGAAGAAGATCACCCCTCAAGAGAACTCCAAGAGCTCACCAAGAACAGCCAAGATAAGGTCGAAAAGAGCGCTCCAAGAGGTCTCCAAAACAGTACAACAACACGCTTGGATCGTAGTACTCGTAACAACAGCAACAGTGGGATTGGTACAAGCCAACCAAAGAAATAGCATGTATAACCTCTGTACGTAAAATGACACGCCGCACACACGTCTACATGAACTTCCTTCAGCCTGGGCCTGATTCTGGCCGTACTACACCCAATGCTGGCAGGCGACTGGTCCAGCAGTGAGACATGCTTGCTGTCATCGGGATCGAACGCTGTGTGCTCCAAATGAGCGTCGCCGAATTCGCCCCGGACTTGGTATGGCTCGGCTGAGAAGATCTAACTGATGGTCTGTCCACTGCACGCTGGAAATCCGTGAAGGACCGCGTGGCAGACTCGTAAACCCGCAAGTCTTGCAAAGCCTGTTCCACCTGGTCCATCGTTTCGGCAACACAGAGTGCAGCCCAGCGCTGGACATCGGAATCCCTCATCGGAACAGGCTCGCGAGGGACAAAAGTGGGGCTGCAATTCTCGAGCCGGGAAGGTCCGAGCTTGGAAGTTGGGATCAGATGAAACTCGTTGCCACAGGAGTCGGTCCACACACAATGCTTCTTCCATGCAAGCAGCTCCACGGCGCAGCTGCGACCCTGGCTGGCCACGACTTTCTCGCCGTTTAACACGTGCTGGTCGAGATGATGCGCCACGTCAGGCCAATCCTGAAAATAGTTTCCCTGCTTTTCCATTGCTGTGAGCTTGTGCAGATACTTTCGCACGACGCTTCTCGTCGCTGGCTACCGAGGAACCGATTGTCGCCAATGCAGACAAACGCAGCAACCAACACTACCTTGTTTTGCCGTGGCTGGCTTATTCGGATTCGATTACAACATGTCTGCGAAACGGTGTCTTTTGTTCAATGCTCCCAAGCAACGCTTCGAACACACGGCTTGCCGGAAGGCTGTTGGAAAAACGATCAGACTTTTTGCTGGTACGGCAAAGGCATCGGGCACCACAGCAAAGAGAAAGAATAGAAGGTTGACAAGGTGGCGACGCGCATCTTCCATGACCTTCTCAGGACGGTCACTGTGCCAAAACCGCCCCACATTGCAGCAAGACGTTGAAAGAAAACAAACTGTTTACTTCAAGCGTTGCCATCCTAACATGTTTGGTAGCAAGGCAATGGAAATTCATGAAAGTCAGGCGCTGCACCAACCTGCAGACGCAAAACTGTAGATGCCAAGGAATTGCTACCCTTGCGGTCGGTGCTTGCATGCCAAGTTGGGCGGCATGTGCGGGATTCATCTCGCCCGACCCAATGCCACCAACCTTTCTCCCGAGGTGGGAAGTGGGATGCGGGAGGGACAAGGAAACGAGTTGGGTTATGCAGTAGATGACAATTTTTGGAAAGAAAAGGAAGTGGTCGAAGATTTGGTCGGGAAAAGCCGAGTTAGGCGGCAATTGGGAACAGATGGACATGGAATGTAGGACTGGTGTATTTGAGCGTGAAGATGGACGGAGTTAGGCGAAAAGGAATAGAGGACAAGGGTTGTTTGAAGTTTTCCCTCCCACTTAGCAAGGACAAAGACCGCATTGCAGGGTATCTCCGAGAGAACAACAGACTGCAGCTTCAAGCGTTGGAAGCCCATTAACACCCGGCTCAGCTCAGTCACTTGCTTGACTGAAGCATCCACAATCTCAACACTTCATGACAGGGTCCGGGTTAAGCGTTGGTATTGCACGCGTCACACGAAAAGAGCACCCAAGTTTGGCGCCATACATGCGGCACTCAGGTCCTCTCGCCTCACTCATGCCTTATCTGTTCGTCTCACATCCCACTCCCCATTTGCAGATGCACCAGCCAGCAAAGAAGCAAAGCAGCCCGCAAGACAGAAGATCGTTTGAAATACGAACTGCACAGCAAAGTGCCGTCTTGAGTTGGCATTCCAGGCTTCTGGGCAACCAGTTTCCCACAGCAGATTTGCATCGACAACCACGATGCTCAAAATCGTGTGACATGAGCTGCTACACCGCAAGGAGCCTTACAAACGACTTGATGCCATGCTGTGGCAATGCTGTGGTACTGAAGTTACGTTACATTCGACATGACTGGCTATGCTGCAGTGAGCTCGTCAGCATCCGATAAGGCCCCTCCGTCACGCACTCTTGGGGACTGTGCGCACTGCAGGGCTACGATGAGGAGGCACTGTTGTGCGCTAGATGAGCGGCTGAGGAAACAATGACATATCAAAATCGAACACCCCTACATCCAGTGTTGGGAATGGCTTGCTAAGGAATGCATGTGCGCTGGCAGTCACAATCTGCTTGTTGTCAGCGGCTGGGGCAGGTGCAGCCCTGGTCACTGGACGGAATCGGCCCATGCTTTGACGTGAAATGGCTCGGCGGCAGAGACAAAAAAGCCTGATGAAAGCCGCAGTGGTATGCACAACAGCTCTAAGCGCTAAACCATAAACCCTATAAGCCCTAAACCCAATGACACCGCTGAGAGCCCTGACCGGCACTAGCCAATCGGCATTACCTGTACTCCGGAAAACCATCCCCGAGGTTCAACACAGCTTCAGTCTGAGAGACCGCCCCCTTTTGGTTCGCAAAGCAAGTGAAGCTCTAAAGCTCCTGAAGACGCGAGCTTCAAAGCTTAAGAAGGAAAACTATTGAACACCCTTGGCGTGCCATAGAGCTTCAGAAGGAACATTCTTGAACCGCCCCCGGCGTCATATCGAATTATGAGCACCTACAAGACATGTTGCAAAGCACTCTGAAACCCAATAATTTCCAGTGCAGGTTTGAGCCTCAAGGGTTTGGGCTTTTGGGGTTTTTGAGGTTTCGGGTTGACCGGGACCTGTGGGGCTCTAGTGACTCTAGTGCGCGGATCTGACATGAGTGTCCTCTGAACCGTCCAGAGGTGCAGGGTGCGAACCGATCGACATGACACTTTCGAAGAGTTACCTACCAACAGACCCCTGGCACTGCAAATGCGGAGGCTTTTGGGGGGCATTGAGGAGCGCAGGTTTTCTAGGGGAGGATTGTGGGCTGCCGCATTCCCCTTTCTTTCTCGAAACTCCTGAAGCCGTGACTTCTCGGATGTGATGACACGTAGAGCAAAGCAGCCAAGGCACAGTCAGCCCATGACCGGAGTTTTAGCCGAAGGGCCCGTACACTTGGTTGTCTGATCAAATACTCACCCAAATAGTAATCCAATAGTACTGTCACCTTGGATTACAACGAAGTTGGGACTTGTGGGTCAATATCTCGGAAAGTCTTGAGCGGGGTGTTCACACAGGAAACAATGCACTGCAGCGATAAAATACTCACACACATAAGAAAGCTGAACTCTTACATCGCGAATCGGGTGAACTTCGACATTCGGCATGCCAGCTTGCACCGCCTAAACACTCCAGAAGCTGTAGATGCAAACTCGACGAAGTCACGGAAACCCCCTGAAATCATGACTGATAAACCCTCAACACCAAACCTGCACAACCCTGTTTCCAGAACTCTCAACTGCCCAGGACACCCTTACTGCCCGGATCCATGTGATTTATTGGCGGATCTCTGTGGGCCCTACACGTAGGAAGCGGTGGTGGAGCCAGGCCCCAAAATGATCCTTGGCACATGTTTGCCGTGTTTGTGGCGTGGCGTCTGTTTTTAGTTTGAGGTGTCTAGGGTTCAGGGTGTTGCTTGGGAGTTGCTGTAGGAGGTTTGAGGTTGTCAAGTTTGTGGTGAGCACTCCGGGTTTCAAGTTTAGGATATCAGGCTTAAGGCTTGGGGGATGATTGACTCTCCAGCAGATCAGGGCTTCCTGTCGTCAAAATGCCAAGCAGCGAAGCCCCGCCGCAGAGTTTTTCTTGGGCTCCCCGCTCGCCATCCTCATCGACGCCCACACCGTCGACGAGAAAGCTGTACCTTGTATTGCTAGATGGTCCAAGCAATAGATCTGCTCCGGCATCCAGTTTAAGTGAGGGCTTAGGATCTGGGTTAATTATAATGTGTTACACAGGTGACAGTAGTGACTCCGTCTGCTCGAACTTATCATGTTCAGTGTGTTTATAGCATAGCTTCACTCTCCGGTCAATCCGCACGGCTTAGGGTTTAAGGTTGCAGATCAGTGATTTGGATTCGGGTGTGTCCAGAGAACCACAATCCCTCACAAGCTGGAAGAAACGCTTGAACCTTCAGCTTAAGTTAAGCTCCCAGCACAAACATATTCTATAACCTTGTTTCACACAACGTCGTGAAAAGCCCAAACCCAAACCAGCAGACCTAGATCCCCAAACCCAGCCCTCTGTCCCCGCCCCGCGCGCCAGACCTTGAAACCAAGCCCAAAATGGCCCCAAGGCTAGTCCTAAGCCGCAATCTATGCAAATCCGAACCCCTATTTAAGTCCCAAACCATCTTCACTGTCGTGCTTGTATGCCATGCTGACTAACGAGAGTTCGCATGCTAGCCAGGGCATGGCAGGGCTATAGATTCGGATACTGCGCGCAATCCTAGGGGCCAGCCCCTGAACCCTTGAGCCAAACCTCAAAGCACCCATGTACTTAGCAATTAAATACTTTGGCTACGGCTAGAGATAAACACGTAAATCCGAGGTTCATACTTCGGGGTGTAAACTTGAAAGGCAACTTAATTTTAAACCCTACACCAAGACCCAAAGCCCTACCAAAACTGCTGCAGTCAAAACGCTCGGCATATTCTCGAAGCTCCATGGGCATGCCGATGCGCACCGCATCGCCCACCACACCCGAAGCCTCGAGTGCAGATATGATATCGGGTATAGGGTTCATGGCTTATACATAGGGTTAGGGTTTAGGGTTTAGGGGATAGGGTTTAGGGTTTAGGGCTTGGGATTCAGGTTTCAGGGCTTCCAGAGTTGAGGGTTGACGCCGTATGGGGCTTATTGGCTGAGGTTGATGTCGTAGTAGGGCAATGCAGACAATCCGATTCCCTGGGTAGCAGGATCCTTGTTTTAGGAGCGAGCAATACCAACATGTCGGCCAAAACTCCGAGCCCAAACCCCTAAAGCCTACACCCGCCCTAAGCTCTAAGTTCCCACACTCCAGCATTCCAATTTCAGGCGGTGAGTTTTTGATAGGTTTGGGAGTGCATCGTCTGCGACCAGCACTTCAAGCGAGCTGAACGAATTAGTTTGCGGAGCGCGCGGTGATTTGCTGCTAGTCGAGGGCTGAGGTTCAGACTTCATTCGGCCCGAAGCCCTACACCCTAAACTCTAAACCCTAAACCTAAGCCCTGAACCCCAAACGCTAAACCCTCAACCCGGAACCCTGAACATGATCCGGGCTTTGAGCTTCGAGCGCCAGACACAAGAGCTTTGGAGCTTTTGGGTTTAGGGTTTAGGGTTTAGGGTTTTGGGGTTCAGGTATATGGAGTTGGGTGTAAAGGATTCAGGGTTCAGAGGTTTAGGGGATCATGGAATCCCGTCCCACACGTGTATACTGCTCGGGCTTGGGGATTAGGGATTAGAATTATCGGTGCTGCTTCGGGTCGTTTATTGGGCGGACAGAAGTAAGGCCTAGAACCCAGTTTACGACTGATGTAAGGCAAGCCCTAAACCGGAACCCGATCTGACGACCAAAAGGGTAGTTCTCTAAATTGGGGTCCGCTTTAGGTCCCCAACGTCATACGACAACCGATCTCACGACCAACAAACCAACGAGGCGTCCAAGAGGCATCTGGCACCGGTCTCGCAAAAGCGCCCCATCTCTGGTAGACCTCCCCGAGCGTTGACCCTAAAGGCCCTAAGCGCCTAAACCCTAAACCCTAAACCGTAAGGCCCTAAGCGTTCGATTTGCAAACGACTTAGCTTTGGGTATAGGCTGTATAGGTTGCGGGGTGGGGTGCCCTGAACCCAAACCCGAGCATGCCTGTCAAGGATTTGGGATGGGCATCATTGAGGGCTGTTGGGTGCAGGACACAGGCTCCTCGAAGGGTTTAACAGCTAAAACAAGGTTTCTTAAGGATATCCAGTCTGTTGAGAGCTGTCTGGGTCTCTTTTAATCCGGAAGCCCTTGACCTCGAGACTTCTACAGCCTTCTGCACATGAACCCAACAAGATCTTTAACAACCACGAGACCACTTCTGGCTAGGACTCCCTGACACTCCGGAAACGAAGCATCTCCTATGTTGGCAGCTAGCCTAAACAAGCACGACAACCCTGAAGCCTAAACAACAAAGTACTTAAACATGAGCAACCGCCTCCCCCCCCCCGTAAAGAACCCTTAGAGAGTCCTTAAGGAAGCGCCAACGCCCGAGCGACCTAGAGCCCCTGCAAGCTTCCCAGAGATCCTTGAAGTAACCTTAATGCCGGGGCCTTATTAATCAGAATAGGGTTTTGGGGTACACTCTACCACAATATGACAAGGAACCCCAAAAAATAGCATGGGTAACTATTAAGGCCCCTATATCAAACCCTTCACAGAAGCCTTGCAGATGTCTTGAAGAAACCCTACGCCTAAAACAGAAGAAACCTTGACCCCACGAGCCACCAAAGTGCTCTTTTTGCGCCTGGCCGGTCTTCGTGTTCCGCGTCTCCATCTGCGAGACCTGCTTTTGGATCTGTGGCTGTAAAGTTAAGGGTAGTTTAAAGTAGGGCTTAGGGTTTAGGCCTTTTAGGGATCGGATTCGGGGGTTGGTATACATATGTGTATATGTGTGCATAATCAAATGCATGTATACAAGCACGAACAAATACAGTAAAGATAAGCAAACACACAAATGAACAAGTAATTAGTTAACTAATTAACTAAATAGTTAATGTGCTTGCATGTATACATACCTTGTACATGTGTGCATACATATATGTGACATGTATACAGAGACAAGGCTCAAGGGCTCAGGGCTTTTGGTCTTCTTGCGCGCCGGGTCTTCGGACTCGGCTTGGGGGGGGATATATTGAGGGCATCCTAAAAGAGTGTAGCCTTCCTGGTATTTCAGCCCCTCTCAATATCCTTGTTGTTGCTATCATTACACTTTTCTTGCCATTACTATTAGGAATATGATGATGAATAAGTGTATTTAACATTTAAATTAATCACTATTATTAGGGCAACGACCAGCTCCAGGTTGCTTTTCCATCTCGAGGCCTAAACACCCTGGATGTTGGATGGCCATTGACACGCAAACTTCAAGCCGCACCAAAACACAGGGTTTAAGGTTTCAGGTTTAGGGTTTAGGGTTCAGGGTTCAGGGTTTAGGGTTTAGGGTTCAGGGTTCACCAAAACACCACAACTTAATCCTACGTGCTAAGCATCAACAGCAACACACACGAACCATCTCCACCCCCTCCGACAAGCTCAACCAGCAATCCCAGAAAAACCCATTCCCTGAAACCAAACAAAAAAACTCAATGCAACAAAACATCATAACGCCGCTACAGAAACCACCAAACCCCTAAACCCTATACCCAAACCGTACTATTAGTAAAAGGAAAGCTCCGTGCCCACCTGCTTCGTGCGAAAGCATTCCAAGAGCTGGCCCCAGTGCTTTCCCACGGCCTTCCATGAAAGCTTGGGGTTGTATTTCGGGTTTTGGGTGCTTAGGTTTAGGGTTCTAGGGTGTAGGCTGTATATAGGGCTCTCGGGCTCTAGGGTGTAGGTTTTAGGGCTCAGGTTTAGGATAGGCGAGAGGCTTTAGGGCTTAAGGCTTTGAGCTTTCGGGTTGATGGAGAAGTAAGCCTACTGACAAGAAGACTGGGATCTGGTCATCGAGTAGTTCAAAGGCTGGCTTGGCAGTTGTTGTGGGTTTTGACTCGAAGCAGATGTTGACATAAAGCCCGAAGCATTCGAGCCGAAGCCCTAAACCACACATCCCGAAATCCTAATCGAAGGGCCGGAGGTTTTGGGCTCAAGTGAAAGGAAACTACAGGTGGGGAGTTTAGGGTATATAGGGCTTCTATAAGGTATTATAGACCTTCTATAAGGCTCCTATAACGGCAACTACACACCTGAAAATGTACTAGATTAAGGGTTGGTTCAGCAGTTTCAGGTTTTGGGCGCCGGGTTGAGTGTCTGGGGTACGGCTGCAGGAAGCAGCGCAAGAAGGTTTCAACATCAGCTCGGACAGTTTTTTATCGTGTAGTGCCTGGAGCTTCAAGATTTTCTTGGGGCTCACGAACCCTAAGCCCTAAACCCTGGGTTCTTGCCGGGTTCATTCGCATCATCTCGTACAGCTGGCATACTTGGAGCCTCGCGCCCCGGCCCCGTCTTCCCCTCTCACGCAAGCCTCAACAATTCGAAAGAAATGTGCAGATCATGGCAGGGAACTGCAAGGGAATATATATATATATATAGATGCATATATATATATAGCTCTCTCTCTCTCTCTCTGCTTTTTCTTAAACCCTTCAAGGCGTTTAGCCTTGAGCTCCGCATCCAACTCGGCATCGACGGGAGCGGCTCTACCTGCCAACGGGTTTTGCAGGGTTTAAGGTTTAAGGTTTAGGGTTTAGGGTTTACGGCTTTGGCTGCTGATCGGGTTAAGGCTTTGGGTGCACGGCTTAGGGCTTATCATTGAGTTTGGGTTTAGAATTTTTTGGTTCAGAGTTTTGCTACTAGGGTTGCCGTATTCAAGGGTCCCATTGATTGGATTTCGGCGTACATAATTTTCTGCCTACGGTATCAAAAACAAGGTTCTCGGGGGGTCTTCTACATGTGCACCAGGTATATCCATGTCATGTAGAGACCCAGCAATCAACCCCTAAACCTTGAGCCCTAAACTCCTAAACCCTATAAAGCCAAGCCCCTAACCCCTAAACCCTAAACATCTCAGCAAGTTATAGAAGTACTGATTGCTGGGGCTCCTGGATTCGCCCCTCAACCGTCTAGCTAGACTCCAGCTCTCGCTCTTCCGAAGCTTGTTCAGGAATTGATTCAAGATGAAGTACAACTTATCATTTGTTGTTTGATATAGGTAGCTTTGGTTAAATTCCTTAGCACGAGCCTAGGTCCGGTTCATGCAAGGGCTGGGCGGGTTTAGGGCTGGGCGGAGGGGTTGATAGGGCCGGCTGTTGAGCTCAGGGACAGGCCTGAACGCTGTAATTCCATATTCCGAGAAGGGTTTAGGGTTTAGGGTTTAGGGTTTAGGGTTTAGGGTTTAGGGTTTAGGGTTTAGGCTTTCCTCTTTAGTTGCCCCCAAAATAATGACGGACCCTACAAGGGACCCTAGTTGAACTACCCATATCCTTCCGTACTACTCTGCCTGAATCTGCGACCCTGATCCGTACTTGCTTCAGTAGCCTTCCAGGATATGCTCCACGCAGATTGGGCGGATCGGTAGACTGCTCCAGTGGCCGTCTTCCACTCTGTTCTTGAGGTTCCTGGGCTTAGACTTCGGATGAACAAGATAAGAGAGCAAAACTACTGAACTCAAGGTCTCGAGCGTTCAATACTCTGCCCTTTTGTGATATTTTAACTCAACGAGACTGTTCAAGCTATTAGGCGCAGGATCAACTTAGGCATGGTTTGGTGCTCAGAGTTGTGATATCTTTGGCAAGCGATCCGCAGGATCAACTTCGGCATGGTTTGGTGCTCAGTTTTGACATCTTTGGCAAGCGATCCCCCCCGACACTCATGCGAGCACAAGTGCCCGCACAGCACTGTGGGTGTCAGGGTCTGTTGGCTGAGGGTTTTGCGAAGACCTGTTTACCAAGAGACGCAAGTTTTCACCGCCTCCTAGCCTGGCAACCTAAAAGCTCTTGCCTATGCGGAGTTCGGCCTTGTGAGGAGGAACTCTGGTGCTAAATTATAATGCGGCTCACACATACGCAACACCGTCAACGGTCATTACGAAGCGTAACAGTGAAGAGACTCCTAAATCCTAAACCCTAAACCCTATAAACCCGAAACACTGGCCTTAATAATTTTAATAGGGTTTGGAGGTTAACATACCATAATACCTTTTTTATCAGGAACCCCCAAAACCCTATTCTGATTATTAAGGCCCCGCCCTAAACCCTAAACCCTAAACCCTAAACCCTAGACCCTAAACCCTAAACCCTAAACCCTAAACCAATCATGGGTTTCGGTTCCCCCTTTGCCATCACCGAGAAGCAGGTCTCCCGCCAGGATCACCGTCTTCCCCCTTTGGCGCTGAAGCTCCATGGCCCGGCGAAGCGCCTGAAGAGCGCAGCCGAGTTGTAGACATGCTGTCTAGGGGCTTAGGGTTTAGGGTTTAGGGCTTATAAGGGTTCAGGGTTTAGGGTCTAGGGTTTAGGGTTTATAAGGGTTTAGGGTTTAGGGTCTAGGGTTTAGGGTTTATAAGGGTTTAGGGTTTAGGGTCTAGGGTGTAGGGCTTTTAGGGGTCTGATTCTACTGTATACGGATTTCGGTCCTTGAGGCTCTTGTTGGCGACTTTACGTATAGCAGTCGATGAGCCATGACCCCTGAAAGAGAACCCACCTCCTGCAAGTGCCTTAACATTGGGATCTCTACTTACTATAATCCTTATTACGTCAAGGTGGCTGATGAAGCAGGGTTCTCCAGAGGTTACATAAGCGTTCAGGATTGGCCGGTAAGGGTTTCAGCAAAAAGTAGCAAAGACAACGCCCAAATCCGCAAGTCTTCCAGGAATGTATCGGGTTAGGGTTTCTATGGGCGCATAGGGCCGAGGAGGGATTTCAGGGGCCATAAATCCCAAGATTTGCAGCTCTACGGTTCAGGATCTCGGACCTCCCGGTCCTCGCAAGCCTTACCCCCCTAGTACAGCACACATAGCACACAACCTAATAACCCTAACTCTCTCAATAACCTCATCCCGAAACCTTATATCCCCCCTCTCCCCAACCAAGAGCCGGCGTTTGATTGCAAGCCGACTGTTGGCTCCGGAGACTCCAGCTGTGCATACAGTAAAACAACGAAGACTTTTGCCGTAGGGCTGAAAAGTTGACTTAGGATTTCAGGGTTCGAGGGTTACAGTAGGGTCCAGGTAGAGCCTACATTGCACGATGTGGAGCGAGAAGGATGTCAAGCGTGGCCCCAACACCCCGCAACGCAGAAACAACCTGAGAGAGTCGGGTTGCTGCGGCTGTTTAGAGTTCGGGGTTTGGGGTGCTAGAATAGATGTCGCTTCCTAATTGAAAAGGAGCCAGACGGGGCCCAGGGGCCGAACACTGTGTGGGGAGCCCTAAACCCTACACGACACCCGAACATGCTGATAGACCCTGACCAATCTTGGACTCCAACAATCTTTGAGAAACCTTAAGAAACCCTTTGCTCAATCTCTCAAAGCCCTTAACGGCGATCCCGAGTCGGCCTCAAGCCAGCGCATCTTGAAGGGAAGACGCGGGCCTACCCAACTTCAAAACACCCTGCCATGGTAGAGTATATCTCATACTATCCCAGTCTGGTGCCATCGTCTGTTTCGAGAGCTTTGCTATTTTGGCTGGCATATACAAATCATCTTGTCCTGCTACCCCTCCTCCCACTGCCACTGCTACCCCATAACCACAGATCCATTCCGTATGACAACTGTTCCAGATTCATTTATTGCACTCAGATCACTGATTGCAGGAGTCGCCACCCCAGACGGACCATCCTAAGCCTACCCAGCTGCAAAACACAAAGCCAAAACATTAAGATCATCCACCTCATGTCGCAAGACCACCATTGAAACTTCGGATTTGACACTTTAGTCTTTAGGCTTCATAGCTGGACCCTTGATATCTCACAACCTGCACCCCCAAGCGTAAACACCTGAGAGCTTGCTGGCCTCCTGCGGAATTAGGCACATAGACGTTGAAGACCTTTGCTTTGAGGTACCATTTTGGCTCGGGCTTCATGCCCGAAAGATCCTACACAGAAGCCCCGTATTGAGCTACTTGGGACGTTATATTAAACAGGACACAAACATGCAGCTTGGGCACAGGGCTGCGGGCTTATACACAAATAGCAAGAGACAAACTTCGAAGCAATCTGCACCGTTCTGGTTGCTGGTGTCTCACGGTCCCTGTAGCACTCCTCGCTATGCCGCTATGATTCGGTACCCGAATTCCCTCTTTCCTTTTTTGTTCGACTTTTCTCAGGATAACTGAAGGTTGCCTTCTCTGCAAAATCGGGCCATACTCACCTATAGGAAAATACTAATCATGTGTAAATAATGTACATCCTAAACTAAACCCTAGAACTCTGAGGCGCTAAACCCAACAAAGAATTAAACCTTTGCAGCCCTAAGCCTGAAACCCATAGACCCTGCAAGACCCGACGCTTCCGAAGCCTTCTCTGACCAAACCTCACCCAAGCCTAGAGCCGCAAAAACTAAGATGCATGATCCATGAAACATTTAAATGCGCTGGTTATGATTTTGGGAGTTTGAGGATTACGGTGGGGGGGTGTCGTTGTTTGGCATTGAGTTGTTTGGGGTTTTAATTTGATGCAGGGCTCTACGGTTTGGAAGTGTAGCGGCTTGGGATGACAAGCAAGATGCCGTTAAAACCTGCGTAGGAGGACGGTGACTCAAACCGTTGGGCTTCTGTTGTAACGTCTCAGGTTGCAATGCATGCTTCGGGCGCCGAAACCCCGGAACCCTCAACCTCTAAATCCTAAAGTTGAAGCTCGAAGCCCCGAAAGCCGGGTCCTTTGTCGATGATGAGGCAGGATCCCCAAACTTACTTACCCTTGGTGGCTAAATGCAGGGGTTCTATAAGTCAGTTTGTTTTAACTTATCCGTGTTGATGACCAGTAAGCAGCATCGACAAGCAAGCAACCCAAACATGCAAATACAAATCTGCGTGGACCAGGATACATCATTGTGCCTATCAAGCATTCTGAGCCGTGGAATTATCAAACCTTTCAATCCTCGAACCCAGGAACCAGAGCCCGCCAACCGTGTTCAACATCAAACCATCAACTACAAAGACGTTTGGCCACGGCGCGCACCGCAGGGGGAACAGCAAATGTGACGACACACAAGCATTGCAAAGTACATCGACATACAGCGTATGAAATCACCATGATCCCGCCCCCTGGTCCGCATGTTAATTTCGATGGACAGCTGCACCAGCGGGACCGTGATCGTTCAGTTTAAAATGATGCGGTAACATAGAGACTACACAGTACGTCGCAGGGACCCCGATACTGCAGCATTCTGAGATGATGGGTTCGAGGCACTCATGTTGCTGCCCTGTCGGGCAGATGACATAAACACCAAAACATGCAGAAATGAACACCACGTCTTGGGCCAAGGATGTCGAGTTTCAAGTTGCTCGGACGTCGCGATTGGTAGCTATACGCAGATGCTGCAAAACTGCGACAGCACAAATGCCAGAAACTACTGTACTATCCGACTATGCGTGAAGCATGTGCCAGCATGAGCATAGTCGTCCCACTTCGCCCTGCTTCCCATACCCCTGAAGCGCCACCTTACACGAAGAGTCCTGACATGTACAGCCAACTTGCTCAACTAAACCTGACAAACTGGAAAACTGAAGCCTGACGATTTTGCGAAACCTGGCTCAACCACATATTGTGAGTGAATGACATGCTTTCCGCAGCAGGTTTGTGACCACGTTCAGGTGTCTTGATGAAATCAGAATGCCTCAGCATGCCTCGTGTTGATGCAATCTGTTTCGCCCTCTATGAGAGCTCCAAATCGTTTAGGGCTTGGGCTTCAGAGTTCATTATATAAGGGTTTATGTGGTAGTGGGCTTAGTTGTAAGGTCCACTTCAGAAGCCCGACTGATCCGTCCCCAGACTTGTGGGGACTGGCGGTTTAGGGTTTAGGGTTTAGGGTTTTGGGCTTTGGGTTCAGGGTTTAGGGTTTAGGGTTGAGGGCAGCCGCACATCGCTGAAGACAGGGACCCTCTCATGATGTCGGCCAACAAGAAGGTGGAGGGATTTACTCACCAAGCCACAATTATACAGCTTTGCGTAGACCCCCCGCTTAAATGGCCACTCTCTTTAAGGGCCTTGGCATTGGAATCCCTACAAAAACTCCTGTTCAAGGCAGAGGGATTTTTGTTCATCAGGCATCGAATGTATGCATTCTCATGAGCCTGCCGAGCCTGGTACTAGGCCAAGGTCGTAACTACCCGTAGTATCACCTTATGTATAGGCTCCTATATTTGGAGGTCCTGTGCTTGTCTTCATGTAGACCTTTCAGGGTTTAGGGCTTGGGGCCCGATCCGTAGCCTCCCCCCCGGTCTTTATGGAACCGCCTAAAGCCCCAAAGCTCAAGCTGAATGCTGTAGACTTGACAACACTGACTGTTTCAGCTCGAAGAGGAGAAGCTCTCTTTGATCTGAGTTGGTCAATGTAGATTATCATGCCCTGGCCCAACACTCCACTCCTTGCACCCTAAACACAACTCTAAACCCTTCCTACCTCTATTGACTCTATTTATTTGGACCGTAATGGTACTCGACTGACTTTCTGGTTTCCCTAAAATGCTAAATCCTAGCTCCTCAGTCCCGGATCCTTGTTCCTAAGTCCCCACATTAGAAGTCCCAAATCCCATTATCCTACATCCTCGTCCTTATCGAAAATCCTAGGTCATAAATCCTATTCTGGGAGCACCTGGAACTGCCGGAATCCTCTAGGAGGGAGCTCAATGGGCATGTGGGAGTACTTGGAGGTTCATGGGTACTTATAACCCTATGTATAACTACCCATGAACCTCCAAGTAGCTGTCCCTGCTAGTTGCTGGGACTTCGATACTCGGGGGCCCTACCTCTCGACCCGGGTTTCCGACGCAACATTCCATGCATGAACATGCCGCGAACCAGCCTCTGCTGGACATGGAAAGGTGCTCAGACCCAACTTCAACCAACAGAACTCAACAGCTTTGGATCGCATATGGAGGTGTTTGACAACTCCGTGTTCACAGCCACTGCAGGGCTCAGGGTGCAAACAACGTATAAGGCTTCCACTAGCCTGCTGTCGGGGGGCGACAAACGTGCCATGGTCGGTGAGCAGGCACCGACCTACGCAAGCTAGAGGATACGGTCTTCAAAACAAATTTAACGGGGTCTTGGTACATGATTACACCCAAAAACATGAAAGACAACCCTTACATATGTTCCGGCCCCTGTGTTTATTGTTATGGTGGCTGTGTCTCTACCAGAAGGGCCCACGAAGCCAATTATCCGCAAATTATTTAGTTGGTCTAGGTTTGTACGTTAGTACAACCCTCGCTTCGCCACATCCCAGGAGCTGCGTTGACGATCTGTTTGGTCCGAATCCCGGGCCCACACCACGGAGCCCTCCAGTCGACGAAAACTTGAATCCCAAGTGGCCACAAGCTCTAACCCCAGCGCATCAACCCCAAAATGCCGACCGCGGACACTTATTGTAATCCTTAAGCATTGCCGTGGCCTCCTACCCTTGTATACCGCTTAAGCTTTACGAATGACTCTAGAGGGCCCATAAACCCTAAACCCCTAAACCCCTAAACCCTAAACCCTAAACCCTAAACCCTAAACCCCTAAACCCTAAACCCCTAAACCCTAAACCCCTGAACCCTATAGGCTGGAGGACCTGAGGCTTCCTTACCATCTGGAGGTTGCGGGACCTGATTGAGATGTAGCAACTATAGGGTCCTCAATCATTGGAATAGGGTTGTGGGGTCAACTATACTAGAATCATACTAGGGACCGTAAGGGTGTATTTTACACATTGCTGCGGCTTCGATGTTATATCCAAGGCTTATTGCAAGAAGACCGCAGCGCCCTAAATTAAGCATCCAGATACTGAAGCCGGCTGGAGTTTCGCAATCCTAAACGCTAAACCCGAAGGCCTTTACGAAACCTGAATATGTTGCTGAACCCCATAAACGCAGTAGCAACTTCACCAAAATTGCAAGCAACAGCTTTCCAAAACAACCCCATGGAAATTGATACTGGGCTTGCGGTTGTTCATAGACTTGGGGCCCAACATGCGCGATCCCTGCTCTTCGTCGGACATGATCTTAAACTTCAACTACGAGCCTGCCTAGGTCCTGGATCTTAACTCTTCTCTACCCCGTCCCTAAACTGTAATACAATTGCTGTAAAAGTTTGCTGGTCTAACCTTGAAATAATAAGCTTTCCGAAGAGGATGTAGGTACTTGTGAGGCCGTAGAGTTTGCGGTTTGGGGAAGACCAGGTGCATACGACCCAGTGGCGCACCAGGCCCAAAAGCTAGGGCGGTAGGATAAAACTTGGTATAGAAACGAGGGGACAGTACAAGTAAGAAGGGCATTGGCAGCTTAAGGCTTAGGGTTGGGGGTGGTCTGGCTGGACACCACACCTTCTGCATCAAGGTCTTCGCACTGGAGAGGAGCACAATCTGCCTGCGGGCGAAGGACAACACCCTAAACCCTAAACCTTAAGCTCTAAACTCCTAAGCCCTAAACCCCGAACCCCGAACTCTAAACCTTAAGCCCTAAACCTTAAACTAAACCCGAAACCCTAAACTCCAAACCCTAGACGTCAACCTTGAAGTTCACGAACTAGAACTACGGCTCGGGACCGACATCGTCAGAACTGTCTCCTCACAAACACATATGAGCCCCTCATCGAAATCGAACCCGAAGATGCCCTTGTAGAAGCCCCGGTTTAGGGTTTTTGGTTTAGGGTTTAGGGTTTAGGGTTTAGGGTTTAGGATTTAGGGTTTAGGGTTTAGGGTTTAGGGTTTAGGGTTTAGGGTCTAGGGTTAAGGTGTCCTTCAAGAGGCACATTGGCGAAGAAGATGCCCTTCCAGAAGCCCTTCGTAAAGCCCTCAAAAAACCTCCCTCACCTCCGCCCTCTCTTGCACCTGCAGTTCAGTTCCCAAGCACTAAGGATTCTGGCTTCTGTTGGCCATTGTTCAGTTCTGAAAATAAGCCCCCAAACCAAAAAGGACACAGGGTAGGGGCCTGTGAAGCTCTGCACAACTTTTGGGAGAGAGGGAGCTGGCCCTATCCTTATCATAAAAGAGACACCAGAATCAGAACATAAAACCTAAAGCCATGGGCCCATGAACGGTCACAGAAGCAGCCCCTGACCGAAGAAACATGAGAGCCAACTGAATTCCGAAACCGGTGCATCAAAAACGACTGCACAGCAATATGGCGCTTAGATTTATCATTCCAATATGAAGTCTACTAAACCCTCCAAAAATGGAAAACAAAACAAACAAAACCAACACTCGCTAGTCATCGTTCCTAGCCCCCCTCTACCCTAAAGCGTCCGAAGCGAAGGAGAGCCCGCTAGGCTGGTCCTGAAGGACGGCTCCGCGTCGTGCGAAGGTGCAGACGCCGTTGAATCCCTGCCGTTGCGCCCCTGTGCCATTGTTACCTCAGGGCTTGGAGCTTGGGGGCTTAGGATATGAGAGTTATTTCAGTGTTTGTGAATTTTGATTTTCGCGGATTAAAAAGGTTTTGAGGCTGGGTTACCCCAAGCATACACTGAGAGTTACGAAGGGCCCCGCATGAAGGGTTCCTAAACAATTTCTATAAACCCTAAACCCTAAACCCTAAACCCGGAACAGG